TTAGTCTTGATCAACCTTGAATCTTTCCAACTCTCTTCATTTGGATGATGTCTTGAAGGGCATCTCCATCGCTGACCCCTAATATGGACATGGTTTGTACTGGTGTTCGGACATGGATATGGGAGGCGGCTATCCAACCATGTACCTCATATGTGTCTTCATTAACTTAAAAAAACATTTCGCTTAAATCTTCCACAAATTATCAGCCTTTTGCCAAAGTATTATAAAGAACCATAATAGAAAATCTTAATAAACAACTAATCACCTTGCTAATCATAGACCTTTCTGCCAAATGGGTTTGGTCACTTTCAAACCCTTCCAGCAAGTGCCCAAACTATTTGCAAAGCTTTTGTCATTCCGCTACCATGTGATAAAGAACTTTAAAACTACCGCCTTGCCAAATGCTAAAGTACAGCTTCGGCCAAATGCCCAAAAAACTATTTGTAAAGCTTCCGCCAAATGCACAAACACTAATCTTTTAACATGCCAGCCTTTGACCAATTAACAACAACAGTCCGCCATACATATTCTGCATGCGCTACAACCAAAGTTAGAACTTGGGAGCCCTGACTAGAGGGCATTAGCACGTAGCATTGAAAAGCTCTATCTCTTGACATTTGGGCAACTACATGTGTTCGAGTTTGTTCAAGAGAAAAACAGAAAAAATTGGATAAGTAATTAAGTGGGAGGATCCCAGTATTTTCTTTCATGCTAGATTTAACTTTGACAAGGTACATAGAAACTTTGGTTGAAGCTCTAGTGGTATGTATATCATAATATATTACATAACTAATCTTATATGTTACCTTGTATGAGTATGTTTCTAGAGAGGAGGCCAAGCTGGGGCAACTGGAGGTAGACTCGAAGACTCCATTGTATGATGGTTGTGATCTCGAGGTGACCCGCTTGAGTTTCACACTCTAACTTCTAAAACGAAGGCCAAAAACAAATGGACAGTTGCAAGCTTCGATAAGCATTTGAAGTATCTACATTATAAAGTTCTTCCCGCAGGGAACCTGTGTCCTACTAGTGTCGATGAGGCCAAGAAGTTCTTGTGCCCTTTGGATCTGCCCCACATTAGATACCATGCATGTATCAACGATTGCATCATTAATCGAAATGAGCACGTGGAAAAAACCAGTTGTCCGGTCTGCAATGTTTCTCGATACAAGAAGGCCGGGAAGAAATCTCCTCGGAAAGTTGTATGGTACTTACCGATCACTCCCCGTCTGCAGCATTATTTCTAAAATCCTAAGGAAGCAAAGCTCATGCGCTGACATGCGGTGAGACACCTAACAGTTGCTAGCCAGTGGCGAGCATTCTCTGCAGAATATGGATATTTCGTAGATGATGTAAGGAACATCGTGCTTGGCGTGAGTACCAGTGGCATGAATCCGTTTGGCAACCAGAACACCAACCATAGCACATGGCCCGTGTTTGTATGGACGTACACCCCCTGGTTATGCATGAAGTCAAAGTACATACACACGAGCATGCTGATTCAAATGCCGAATCAACCGGGAAAAAATATTAATCTGTATCTGGGGCTACTGAAAGAGGAGTTAGACACATTATAGAAAACACCGGGCAAGACATGGGACGCCAGCAAAGGCAACTATTTCTATATTATAGCCGCGCTGATAACGATGGTGCACGACTATCTCGGTTACCTTTGCTGGCGTCTCATGTTTAAAAAATGTCATGATTGGAAAGATGCATAGAATTTTAAAATTGTTCAAATCTTCTTTAAAATATTCTGAAAGTATAAAATTATTTTTGGATCCTTAAAATATTCAAGAATTTGAAAAAATATTCACCAATATGAGGAAAATCTCGGTTTTGAAAAATGTTCCATAATTGACAAAAAATCACAAATTTTTAAAAATCTTCATGAATGTTTTAAAAATATTTGCAGATTTGGAAATTGTTCACAATATTTTTTTAAACCTCATGAATCTCAGAAATGTTTGTGAATTAAAAATATTCACGAATTAAAACAATATTATACCAATTAATAAAATAATCACAAATGTATACAGATTTTTAAGTATGGCAAATCTGATGTCTAGGACGGTTTATGTCATCACGGGCATGTCAATTTCCTTCAGCAAGCATGAGAAATAATTGCCTAGCTCAATTTTTTTTAGGATTTGTCATGCTTGATGGAGGAAATTGATGTGCTTGCGACAACATAATTTTTCATCTCAGACGTAAGATTTGCCATACTTCAAAATTTGACAACAAGTTTTTAACAATCCCGTTTAGAAAAAAATATGGCCTCATAGTTAGATTTCTAGTTGCGCCTTGTTTCGTCGGAGCTCCTATTCTAGCCTTCTGCGAGGAATAAACACTATGCGCAGTTTGGACCGACCATGAGCGCTAGGTGCGGTCCTCCCATGTTGGTTCGCTCAGTCCTCTCCGCTCGCTTTTTCGTCAGTTGTTCGCGATTCTAAGAAAACCATTGCCACAGAAAACCAACAACCTCGTAGTTCGAACAAAATACGACTATTCGTTATATTTAAAAAGTTTGTAGAAGTTGTTCATGTCATGATTGGTAAGATGTTTAGAATTACAAAAACATGAATTTGAAAAATGCTGAACAATTCTTTATAACATCCGTAAATTTAAAAAGTTCACAAATTTTAGAAAATCTTCATGAATGTTTTAAAAATAATCAGAGATTTGAAAATTGTTCATTTTTTTAGATCTCATTTATATTAGAAATGTTTGCAAATACAAAAATATTTACAATTTGGAATAATATTATACTAACTTATAAAATATTCACAAATGTACAAAGATATTAAAGCATGGCAAATCTGATACCCGGGGCGGTAAATGATGTTACACGAACATGGCAATCTCCTTCAGCAAGCATGGTAAATTCTTGCGTGCTCAGTGTTTTGCCAGAATTTGCCATGCTTGATGAAAGAAATTGTAGTGCTCGCAATAATATAATTTTTCATCCCAGACATCAGATTTTCCATATATAAAAATTTGATGTTAAATTTTTAACGTTCGTATTTAGGAAAAATATGGCTTGATAGTTGGATTCCTAGTTAGGCTTTGTTTTGTCGGAGCTCGTATTCCCACCTTCAAAGGGGAAATTGTCACTATATCGCACAATTTGGGCCGTCCCACAAGAGCTAGGTGTAGTCCCATCGTGTTGGTCCGCTCATTCCTCTCCACTCGCTTTTGCCACCTATTGTTCGCTATTCCGAGAAAACAATCAGTAGAGAAAACCAACAACCTCCTGGTTTACCCCTAAAGAAATAGCCACCTGGTTTGAAAAAAGACCGCTATTGATTATTAATAATTAATAAGGTATTTGAAAAAAAATACATTAGAAAAATGTTCACGGAATTTTAAAATTGTTCTTGTTTAAAAAATGCCATGTTTGGGAAAATGTATAGCATTTGGAAAAAGTTCAAGAATTCTACTAAATATTCATGCATTATAAAAATATTATTAGGTTTTTAAAATATTCATGAATTAGAAAAATACTCAGGACTTTTATAAATATTTTCAAATTTGAAAAATGTTCACGTTTAAAAAAAATCAGGTATCTTTAATGGTCTTTTGAATTGAAAAATATTCGCAAATTTGGAATGATGAATACAAATTTATAAATTACTCTATTTGTGAATTTGAAAATTATTCAGGCTGACCAGAGCAAAAATGGACAAGATCCGCCACTGTTCCAAACTGAGATACCATCAAGATGGTATATCAGTCAGACCCGCAAAATAAAAAGATGGAAAAAGAAACTCATGCTCCTGCCCACCTCTTCTTCTAACAGAGCATTCTCTGTTCACGCAAAAAGGAAAAGCGAAAAAAAAAGAGCATCCTTCAGTTGTTGGTAATTCGAGACTACCTTGCAGTCTTCATAGCATTAGTTGTCCAGACTATCTTTCATATAAGGGAAAACATGTCAAGATGAAGTAGAGTCATCCTGGATCCATAGAACCATCATCCATCACCATTGTTCATACACACATTTCAGTGGTAGCACCAGCAAAACGGAGCACGGCTTACTCGCCTACCATAAAATCAAAACAGCAGTTATCTGCTGACACATAACACACGCATCACCATGCCATGAACTGGTGCTCGTGTATATATATCACATAACACAGGGCTTTTCAAAACAAAACATTAAGCCTACATGCATCAGACAACCCATAAGTATAAAGTTAGAGTGCTCATTCACAATACATGCATGTGATAAATAAACAGAGCAGGGAATCGTCATTTTTGTACATCCTCTAACTGATATAGTGATACTGATAGCGCACCAACAGTATGTGCCAGCCAGCATTAATTCAGACGTCTCTATGATGTTCAAAGAGAGCAAACTCGGCTAGTGGCCACCACATCTAAATGAATGGATGCTTAACAGTGTTGATGTTAGTGAGCTTCTTCTTCTTCTTCTTAACCAATTAGAACACCCCTCAGGACATGCTAGTCAGGTCGTCACTTCTCACTTTCAAATGGAGATACAAAGCCACACAGGCTTGGTCCACAGAGTCTCCAACAAAGCGCCAGCAAAAGAGCATGGCTACTTACCGGGAGAACAGCAAAATAACAGCAGTTTATCTGCTAGCTAGCTACGACTCGTTGAAGTGCTCACATCAGCATCCTATCGGACAAGCCATATATTGTACATACTTAAATTGCTCATCCATAATAAATATGGCAGCATACGATGATTTCTATCCGCTAATTAACCGGGCGGGCGATCGCTTTCAGAGCTTGTACATCGCATGCCCGAAGATCTGAAACAGCAGACAGAGTTGAACTGGAAGATGAGCCAACCTCAAGCACTCCGCCTTGCTGGAGCCTGCAGGTGCAGGGCAAACATCTTGGGCCTGCCACTAATCTGAAGAAAACAAATGAAAGAACCTTTAGAATTAATGGACTATTTGAAAGATGAAAGAATTTACAAATGCAAAGGTGACTAACCGGAGCTGTACCTTTCCGTTTATTTGTAGGTGGGCAATCTAAATCACACTTCTGAAGTCCTTCCAGCGGATATGCGCGATCTTTGGCCAACTTTCTCCATCAGTTGCACGACAGCTCTCCATCAAGAGCTCAGAACCACGCCATACATCTATTTTCTGTAGGGAGGATGGCAGATCTGGTAAAGATGATATGTTGGGGCAGTCCCAGATGTAGAGACTCTTCAGATTGGAGAAGCACTTCATATTTGTTGGCAGGGACGTCATCTGACAGTCACAGAATTTCAGGGTCTTGACAGATGTAAAGTTTGCGGATTCTTCAAATGAAACAAATGGTTCCTTGCATCCTCGAAGAGATAGATATGCTGGAACTTTGAAACCCTCAGCTGAGAGCAAGTTGTTGAGTATTACAGGACTGCTAACAGTGAGTTCGTCCTGGACTCGAAACTGTGAGATACACTCAGGACTGAGCTTCGGAACATCAATCAATTGTACGCTGCGGAGTTGCAGGGAAGACAATCCTTCGAGCATACATAAATCTGGTAATTGATGCAGAGAAAATGATTTAACAGAGAAGAGACTAGCAATAGACAAGCATGCGGTGCTTCTACAATTGCTTATGTAAATATCTTTCATGTGTGTCCAATCAGTACAAAGGAAGTAAGGTGCAAGCACGCAATTGTGTATTGTGAGCTTCTGAAGGGATAATGGCAAACATTCTGCTCCATGTGCCAACTTCAAAGTAGGGCACAAAATCAATGTAACTTCTGAAAGAGAAGTAGCAACTCGTAACCCCCCTAATGACCTGAGACACCAGCAATGTCGGATGGACAAGTGGTCAAGTTTTGCCAAATGTTGGACCACCTCTTCTGAAGGAAGTGTAGTTAAAGTCATAATCTCTTTTAAGCTCAATATTTTCAGTGAAGTCAGGCCATGAAGGCAAGCAGCTAAAGCTCCATCTGTAATACTGCATGCAGAAAGAAAAAGTTCACAAAGGCCTGATGGTAGAACCAGCGGTAGTCCCATGCTTCTTCCATAGATGAGCCTCATCCTCTCCTCGTGACTGTACATCCATGCCTTTATGATATCCTCTTTTACCAGTACTTCATCTTTCTCTCCTTCCATAGCCGTTTCAAGGTTTCGAACATGTGACACATCAGCACACATACATATCATCAGCTGCCACAAAAAGAAATATTCCCGTAATAGTACAGTTCTAATATTTAACCCTGAATCCACCTCCCAGATTAAACCAAGTTGTGATGCCAAGTGGTGTGTCCTCATGATACTCTTTCTCTGATCATGATGTTCATCATTGGAAATAAATATAAGCTGTGGGCATCTGTCTACATGTAACATTTTAAGGCCTAGTGGAAGACAAGGTAACACCTTCAGGTTTGGCACATTGTCCAGGACAAGTGAAGAGCAATTCTCAAACAACTCAGAATTGGATGGTAGGCTTTGCAATGCTCTGCAATTAACAAACTTTAAAAGATTCAAATTCTCAAAACACGAACCATCAAGTAACCAACCAGGATATTTTGAAGATTTGTAACCATCAATTGTAAGATCCTCAAGTTGAGTCGGTGGCATAAGGCCTTCCAGAATCTCCAAATGTAAACTATCCTCTACGTGCGGGTTATTCATGCGACTCCAGACAAGTTGCAAGCTGCGAAGATGACTTTTTTGATACAGCTTCGATTCTAATGCATGATCCTTCCTAGTGACATTCTCAAGATTTGTGACACTTAATCTGCCATGGATCTCGTTCATGTTTCTCAGTTGTTGCAACTCATATCCCTTCTTCTTCCGCACAGAAAACTTCTCAAATTGTTGAAGCGAAGTTAGCTTGCCAATGTTGGGAATTGGAGGCAGTGATGTGTACGATGGAATTCTTCTACAATCATGCCGTTCAAAATGTCGTAATTTCCATAAATTGCACATCTTCCTAGGCAACCTCTCAACTTTGTCATTCAACAGAAGTAACTGCAAGTGGTAAAGAGTACACAGTGATCTTGGCAATTCAGAAATCTGTGTTCTGGTGATGTTCAAATACCTAAGGTGCTTCAACTCACCAACAGATACGGGCAATCTACTACTGCTGTAAGATGCCAAATATAGTACGCGCAACTTTGACAAATTCTGTAGTATCTGATTAAAAAGGTCACTTACATCATCCATTAGGGGCTCTATGCAGATAATAGTGCATAAATGAAGTAGCTTGCAGATATTTTGCTTGTGTTGCTTCATACTACCAACACAAACAGATATATGTCGAACAGTGGATGGTATTTCTTCCACCTTATCTTCTTCCAATCTGAAGTATTCCTCCTTGGAGAGTGATTCTGCAAGATCATGAAGGAGATCATGCATAACATAGTATGTGGGAGTGTGCTCCTTTTGCTTACCAAATTGTTGAAAGAACGAAACAGAGATCATCTCCTTGAAGTAGTTCCTCCCAATATCTTCCACTCTCTTGTTTTGGTTGCACGAATCAATGAGGCCCTCTGCCATCCAAAGATGAACCAACTCATCAATTAAATACTTGTGGCCTTTTGGAAACAAACTGCAATACAGGAAGCATCTCTGCAGACATGGATCTAACTCCTCATAACTCCACAACAGAGCTCTTATGGGCTCACTTAATTTGTCAATCTTTATAGTTAGAGCATCCTTCCATGAAGTGATATCAGCTTTCCCTTTCAATTGGGAACCCACAACTTTTGCTGCCAAAGCAGATTGTCCAAGCCTTTTAGCAATCTTCTCTGCAAAATCTTCAAGTCTTTCACGCAAATGCGGATCTCCGATCTTTGGTCCAGAGAATGCATGGTGTTTGAAGAGTTCCAAGAACTGAGCATCTTCCATCTTTTTCAGGGGATACACTGCTTCACAGCAAAGAGCGGCTGGAAATGTATCCCGTCGAGAAGTTACCAAAACTTTGCTTCCCGTCTGTTGGGAAACTAGAGGAGCTAACAGCTGCTCCCATTCCCTCTCACTACCAGGCTCAAACCAAACATCATCCAACACAAGCAAGAATTTCCCTGATTTTTGTAGTATGTCTGTCAACTTATGCTGCAGAGTATCAAGGTTATCAAGGCGAGGGCATTCTCCCTGAGAGGCAGACTCAATGATCTCTCTTGTATGACGGCGGACGTCAAGTTTGCGTGAGATGCTTACCCACATTGTCACATCAAAATGTTCTTTTACCCTTTTGTCACTGTAAACAAGCTGGGCCAAGGTGGACTTTCCCATGCCTCCAACTCCAACAATGGCCAAACCCGAATACATAGCTGTACTAGACTCAGTACTAGCAGCTGTCTTGGTAAGATGTTTTATTATATGATCACGATCCTTGTCACGACCAATTACTTTCAAAGGTGGTATTGATGTGGTCTCAGGAACAACAGCTAATCGTATGGGCGGGTTCTCTGCATTATAACCAGCTGGTAGGCAAAGCAGTTTACGGAAGTCCTTGGCTTTCGCCAGGGTGGTCTTCAGTTCATGCAGATGTTTAATTAGCCTTCTGTTCTCGGAGCTCAGATTGGATAGCCTGCTTGATGCAGAACGCAGAGGCTTCATAAAAGTGTTGCTGATGGAGGAGCCATTGGCCGGCGTGGAATCCTTCCCCTTTGCTTTGCGCTTGAGGAGGTTATACTCATGCTCGTCCAGCAAGTCTTCAGCCAGGTATAAGCCTTCTTTGAGTTCCTGAAGCCATTTGTCCAACTTGTGCCTGTGGTTTCCCTTGTTTGCTGCTTCAATCATCAGCTCGAACTGCGGCAAGATAGTGGTCTCTAGTTCATGGAGCTCACGCGCCGTGTCCACTCCAAGATACGTTGAAGCATTACCAAGGAGCTTCTTCAAGGCCGGTGATGCAGCCAATTTTAAGCTAACGCTTAAAGCAGCACTAGCTAATGCCACTTCCATTGGGTTGCAGGGTTTATTTTTTTGTCTGAATAAATTGAAGATAGAACTGGAATTATTTCCGGACACAGTGATGGATGAAAAATCTGTTGAAGCGGTAAATCAGAACATAAATTAGCCAGCTGCAACGGTGATATGAAAACAGAAACCTACGGGTAGATCAATAGATGATGGCAAAGACTAAGAATACTATTTTCAGAGTGCGGAATGACCTGAATATCGATAGATGGGCGATTCAAAGTGCTTCTGGATCAGAGGTAGAAATAACCAGTGAATATAACAATGGATGAACACCTGTTGGACTGAGAAATCACGAAATAAATTAGCCAGTTGCAAAACAAAGATAATAAACAGAACCCTACAGCTAGATTTGTAGAAGATAACAGATCAGAATATTTTTTGAAAAGGAACAGATCAGAATATAGTGGTGAGCTTACACAGAAGCAGAGTTGTAGGAGCGGGCGCAGAGATGAGGCAAGGTTGCAGGAGACGCAGATAGAAGGAGATAACAATGTTGTGTTGCAAGAGAATGAGAGGCAGAAATCCCCAAACAGCAGGTCAACAAGGCAATAGCAGATCTGATCCAACTACCTGCCCTTTCTTTAAGTTTAGCCGAGATAGACTAGCTAATAAACTAACCAGTAACCAATGTGGACACAGCTCACCGATGATAATTGAAGTATAAAGTAGCAGAGAACATTGTGTGACTAAATACAAACAACCAGTTGGTAGTTGGTATCCATCACCATCGCTGGCTCTTCATGCTTTCCAGGAACCATCCTTATAGATGTTCAAGGAAATTACTGTCTGTCCTGCACAACTAGCTAGAAGCAGAAATCAGGAAAGCATGCCTCTGTAAGTCAAGTCCACCGTATATAATTAAGATATCAGAAATTCCTTTACAGCGAGAATATGATATACCAAAAGAAAATTTGGGTATCATTAATTGGTGGTATAAACTAAGCGTGTGCTTCCAGGAATCAATCCAACTATGCAATTAACGCAGGCCAGAACGAATGAAGCCACTGGGGCAAAGACAAGGAGCGTGAGTTCCTATTTGCCCTTTTTTAAGTTTAGATGAGCTGGACTTGCTAATATACTAACCAGTAACCAATGTGGAGACGAGACGCGTCTTTCACGTCTTTCACGTTATCACATATAAAAAGCTTTAGCAGCGGTTACATTACTATATGCAATCAGATCAGCATTAGGGAACTCTGCGAATACAACAATATTGTGGGACTAAACACAAATAACCTACCTGCAGGAGCAAGGTGGTGGTGGTCTGGTGGATATGATGTGAGCCCAACGAAATCTACTTCTGTTCTCTCCATCACCATCAGTACATCACTGCCTCTCATGATTTCCATGAATCATCCTCATAGATCTGAAACCCATGACCAAGAATAACATATGACCCCATTGAGGCATTGATGCTCAACCTGCAGGGAAAGGTAACATTATATCCTTCAAATTGATCCGCATATTATATATTCAAAAGGAAGGGATATTGTACAGCCACATAGCTTCTGAACTACTATACCATAGAAGTGTACAGAATTTGATGGAGCGCTTGCTTCTAGATCTTCCACAATGGAAGTAGCAGCTTTCTAGCTGATGCACTAGTGTACATACCACTATTTGATATAACAACTAGCTTTGTAAAGAATGCACATACCTAAGAAAGAATCAGTGACTTTTCTTGTTTCAAGTACTAGCATGGGCAGGCAGTTGAGCTATCGTTATCCTGCCTGAACCACCCGCCCATCTGATTTCCCCTTTTTCAGACTGTGTTGCCTCTGGAGATACATCGACTCCTTCACACGGTTTCCCCAAGGCATCTCTGTTCTTGTAGGCTAACCTGATTCACCAAATTAGCGTTAGTCCGATAATCGGCTAAATGATTTCTAACCAAAGGTGGACAATATCCAACCTATTCTGTAAAAAAGGAAAAAAAAAAGGACCAGAGTATATCCTCATGTCGACTCTGAGGAGTCATTATCAATGTTGCTAGTGTGCACACATGTAAACAATGAGAGGCGAGTTCCAAGAAAAGAGACATAAAACTAATGTGACTATGTGAGTATGAATGCCTCTAACTTGTTTTGGGTTCAGCAGCATGGTTCCAAAAAGCTTGAAGCTTTGAATAAGCCATTCAAATGGATGCGCACTTTCTTCCCTGGCCCTGCCTTACCCACTTAATCAAGCAGGACCTACTTAATGGGCGCGCACCATTGGAAATCAATATATCAGAATTCCTTTAAAAGGATCCTCTTCAGGGCATAAACAAACAGAATAAAACTCAGCGAAAATATGCCGGGAAGCAAATTCAGATATCAATCATTCATACAAATAAATCGTTGGTGGCAAGGAACGAGATCGAGTTCATTCAGCAGTACTGTACAAAAGCCCTGCATAAACATACAAGAACCCACCCAAAAATGCAATCCCCATAAATATTGGACAGGGAGAATACAGCCTCAGCATAGTGAAACCTGAAACCTTCTCGTTACAAACAGAAACTTGATATTACCTTCTAGATAGGGTTCGAATTTGGTCCTGCTCCTGCTCCTAGATTAGGAATTTACAGTTGTTGCTGACCCAAAGAAACGAGAGCCCGGGCGGCCAACTAAGGAAGTGCTTAGGCACCATCCAAATTGACTTCAAAATCCTTGGTCGAGATTAATCCTTTTACACTTGTGTTGTTTAAGAATCAAATATTTTTTGGTGCTTATCACTGAAGCTATCTCATTGCCTGTACATATCCCCCAAATATTTTTTGATTCTGCCAGTATATTAATTATACATGACCAGTTGATTGAGTATCTAGCAAGGCATGAAGATCTACACTTCAAAGTAGCCCTCAAGTAATACAAATATTTACACTGCTCTAACACAAGAAACAGTTGAACTCCGAGACATAAGTAAAGCAAAGCAGCCACTAATGTACTGGTGCCTAACTACAGGGCATTGCTCGCTGTTCACTATAGGGCATTGGTCAAGCAGAATTGCTCTACGTGAGATAAAAGTGCATATTGTTTGCGTATGATGGTATCCTAACGCTTCAGCAAACACAATTGATGGCTGTCACTGATGCCTGATGGTCGAATAAAAGTGTTTGCCTTCTCTGTTATGCCTTATGCTCACACGCCCTAGCTCGGATGCAGTTTGGTTTCACCTTTGGATATCTCCACTGCATAATATTTTAGTAAAACAAAACATTTGTGATTGTCAATGCCTGAAATTTACGTATTGTTCGTAACTTCGTATACATAGTGGATTTCTTAGATTCGTAGCGACTCAAGGATCTAACAACAAACTATTGTGGACTGAGATCCAGTAATTAAATGGACTGAGGTCCAGTAACAACAACACTGAGCATACTGCATACACATACATGTAAAACAGAGAAGGAAACTAAATGAGTGTTGATTAGCAGGTTATTCAGATTCAGAACTAAATTACTGCTATGGCGGGCTGAGCTTCGCCGGTTTTGGAGAATCGCAGATAATTAAAGCTATTGTGGAGAGGAGATGCAGAAGAAAAGAAATTGCACCTTGTTCGCTGTGTGGAACAGCTCGTCTCACGCTGCTCGCACAGGCTCAAATGGTGGCCCGCCGTGGCGGGCTCTAAGACCACCCGCAGCTCCGGGCGACACAGCCGACGGGGGTCAGCCACCCTGAGCGCCGGCGAGGACCACATCCTGACACCCACCATCGTCGATTGGGGGCACAGATGAGAACGGCGCGTAGAATGTCTGGCGGCGCTGGCTGAGAACATAGGCGGAGATCGGTGGGGCAAACGGGGGATGCACAAGAGAGAGAGAGGGCTTGCCGCCGGTGCCGATTTGCGGCGGAGACGCCGGAATGGAGAGTGGCCAGTGATTGCGTGAGTGGTGTAGTGGGCTAAGCCCAAGTGGATGGCCCAACCGTGTTGTGTCCCTTGGTATTTTGAGAAAAAAGTTTCTCTTATGTCTAAAAAAATCTCTTAATCTAAAAAAAGATTCTCTTACCCCTAAAAAAAGATTTTCTTTGCCTCCAAAATAAAAAATTTCTCTACTTTTTTAAAAAAGGCAATGTACCTCTCTCTCCTCTCCTCTGTTTTTTTTAGATGTCCTCTCCTCTCTCTCTCTCTCTAACGTGCAGTTTGTCAAGCACCTCGTGTGCATTTTTTTTCTCACCGGCATGATTGATACGAGGTAGATAAAAAAAGTGATTTTGCGTGCATAGTGGTGCGGCGCAGTGGCAGCTCTAGAGCGCATTGGCGTTGGGGCGGATTGTAGAGAAGGAGGAAAGAAAGGCAGTGATGATGGTTCAAGTGGGTGCTCTATTTTTTCTTCAAACTAATGACCTCAAAATATTTCTCTTCCTTTTTTTCATATTTTAAACAAAGGAAAACAAACGAACCAACCAAAAATGGCTACTGATCCGACCCATTAGTAACAACACCTGAGGCGAGAGGTGCTTTTGTCTCGCTGCAACTGAGACAAGAGAGTGGCAGGTCTTCTTCTTCTTTGTCATCTTAGGTTTTGTAGTGTTTGTTTTCTGAAGAAAGTGTCACCTGGAGAGATCAAAACAAAATAAAGGAATAACCAGTTTTTATTTTTATATTTTAAATATATTTTACAAACTAATTTACATACTTTTTTAGAAGCATTCATAAAAATATTCAGGCAAAAAGATTGTTCAAACCTTTCATAAAAATGGTCGTGTCATTTGAACAATATTCACATGTTTACAAATATGTTCATGACATTAAAAATCATAAAAATGTAAGATTCTTTTTGTATATTTTCTAAAAATTCTCCATATTATTCAAATATAGTTCATGAAATTTTAAAATATTCGCACATTTAAAAATATGGTCATGGAATTTTCAAAATTATTCATGCAATGTTGAAACTGGTTCACGTAATTTTGACAAAATGTTCATAACATATAGAAAAATGTTCATGACATTTAAAAGTTCACAACACTAAAAGAAAACATGTGAACATCACAAAC